AATTTAATAAAATAAAAATAATTAAGATTAGAATAAAATGACTGCCCAGAATGCCCTATATGTGAAAAGTTATCATATTTCGAGGTGCATAACTTGATAAAAATATTTTAAACAGATAATTACCAAAAAACAAAATATTTGGTGTCTGTTGTAGTGTTAATATACTCTGTATAAGTTATTTTGTGTTCAATGGATAGTTTTGAATGACTGGGCACTGGTTTGGATAAGAATGCTAGATGTGTTATACAAAGATAACACAGACTCAAGTGAAACTATCAACTACCAGATTTTGCATTGTGGTGTTTAGAGAAACATAAATAATAGCTTGCTCTCTTTTTCTTTTAGAATAGCGTGTGGAGGGGTCAGTAAATGACAGTAAATAGGTGAAGATTAAATTTAGATGAAAAAATTCATACAGGTTTACAAGTAAATTGTTTCTTGTTTTTGGTTTAGGCTTATAATAGTATGCATTTTTGAATTGTTCGATTTAAAAAACAATCCCACTTGTAAATAATCCAGCAGCAGGGGCCGCAATTATAAATGGTGTGCACGCATAGAAACGGGTCAGAAATGTGTGCATGCAATTTCCCACACTGAAATCAGGATTTATAAAGAAATATTTGGTAAGACGTTGTGTGTGTATTTACAGAACATTTGACCCATGTCTAGGGACAGTTTGCAGCATTATAAGGGTGTCTGTTAGAGGTAACAGGGTGGGATATGAGCCTGTTACATGTGCACATACTTTCAAGAAGACTTTGATTTATAAAGATGAAACTAGGGGTCAACTAGTATGTTTTTTTTTTGTTGTTTTTTTTAAGGGGCTGATAGCAAGGACACCAATAACCAATATTAGGGGCTGATGTTCATTTACCATATATTTGATGTATGTAGTGTTTAAAATTTACAAGAATGCAGCTTTTACTCACAACTTACATTAAATATAAATAAGAAAGCACGTTTGGTTGGATTTGCTTGACACATGGTCCACATTTCTATCAAAACAAAAGCGCTGCAGGCTGGACACGAGACAGAATTTCTGGTTGGTGGTATTAATGCGTCATCCACATTGTAGGAAGTCCAGTAATTCGGTGGGTGGGGCATTGGGACAGACTACAAAACTGTGTTGTTGTTTTTTTTTATTTTTTTTTTTTATCATGGTTGCATCAGATATGTGCATACATAACAAAGTATAGGCTCAGATTAACGGTCGGGTCTATCGTAGGTCGACCCCTAAAAGAAACAGTATGCAGGTGTGTGTACGCAATCTGAGTATTTCTCTGCGCACACGCAATTTCAGTCTTAACTCCGTGCCGAGGTTTAAAAATAAGGCCCCTGGTTACTATTGTTGAGCCAGTAGCCCTTGCTGGGTCTTTTTCTCAGTTCATATTTCAGAATTATGCAACCAGATGAGAAGTTGGAGTTTGTTATGGACAACTTATGACTGGGTAAATCATTATGATATGGACAGTGTGTTAAAATAACTATAAAATATACATTTATATATTTTAATATATAAATATATCAAAAATGGCCTAGCCTAAAAACTGGTGCAGTCCTAAAAGTATAATGCTAATGGTAAAAGGTAGCAGTCTACATGTTCACAGACAAAATCAGTGATGCATATATAGGCTTTTTAAACTACGTTCATGTATAATTTTGAGAAAACCTAAATGCTGAGTAAAATCTTTGGTCACCTTTCTTGGGCTTGTAGGTATATGCTTCTAGATCTGAAGCCTAATTTAAAAATTACACTTCAGTAATTTGAGTATGTTTTGCATTTGGGATTATAGCCTAGTTAGGTATTCACATGAATAATTCCTTATGTAGCCTGACAGTAGCCATTTAGCAAACATCTATTGTGAGCTAGTCTTTTTTAAATGTGTAAATTTGCAAGTAATTTAATGTTAATTAAACCTCAGCAACACTGCTGCACACGATGCATTTATAGTGTCACACCCTGTGACATATTACCATGTTGGTGGATTTTTTTGTTTGTTTTTTTTTTTCATAATAGACAATATTTAATTAATAGTTTATCATGATCCATCATACAGGTGTGCTGTTTGTTTAAAAGTGTATCTATAGCTATCAGAGATGAGATTAAATAATTAATGATTTTTTTATAGAACATTTGTTACCAGAGCAGATCATCTGAGCATTTACAAGCAGCTTATATTGTAGGTATTCGTTGCTATTGTAACCTTTTAGAAGGTGCTGGATGAAATATTGACTAAAAAGGACACATTTACCTTCAGATCCAGTTACAAAGCCGATCGTGACCTGTGAGACACCTAGTGAAGGAGGAGCAATCATACTTCGCTGCTCACTGTCCCCTCAAGTTCAGGCAGACTTTGAATGGAGCGGACCCGAAAGCTTCACACACCGTGGACAGACAGTTAATATCTCCCAGAAACCCGGCTCAGGCATGCTCTATTACTGCACTGCAAGGAATGAAGTGAGCAAAGAGAGCACGCAGTTCAACCTTGAGGATTGTTTGAAAGGTAAAAAAAAAAAATGAACATCTGCTTCAGTGTTGTGATGGTTTAATGCTTTAGGTTTGGAACATTTTATATTGTCATAGTCTTCTACATTAATAGGTGAGAAATGCAACACCCACCTTGTATGGCAACATGAGGAATGTACATTAAATGAGTAATTTGTATTTCACTTACTAATTAATTGTCATTGTTATTCTTTGCAGGTGGAGGTCTTTCTGGTGGTAACATATTCCTAATAATTCTTGGTGTCATCAGCCCCATCGGTGTCGGTGGTCTTGCGTTTTGGGGCTACAAAAAGTTCTCAGGGAAAAACAACCACGAGCTAGTTTCCAGCAAGTAGAACTTGCAAGCTGAAACAAACAGTTTGAGAAGTTAATGTCATAAACCTTAAATTCTCATAAAAGGAAACGCTTCTCAGTGCATACAGCAGCAACAATAGCAAGTTTCAGAGAATTTCACATTTAAAAACACAGTCTTCTCTTAACATTCTTTTTTGCTAGGCAGGAGAGACTGGATTGTCTCCTCCTTCAATGAAATACACTTGACCCTTTTATTTATTAGGATGAGGCCATTACTTTTTGGCTGCCTGCCAGCAGCAACACCATCTCACTAGTCATGACAGTGTGCAATGTGCTGTACATAACAAGGCAGACACCAATGCTACTTTTTGTAGCTTTTTTGTCTAGGTGTCTAAATGTGAATGATTAGGATAGCTTATTATTTTTCTTCGAGAACTCGTACTCTGTTCTCATCAAACAATATGTCAACTTTTAGGCAGCAGCCATTATATCAATGGGTCAGCAGCATGTTTTTTTTTCTTTAGATGGTGTTTTATACATTGTACATTTTACATAACATAAAACGTGTTTTATTTGTGTTGATTTAGTACAGTAGTTTTGAATTCCAGTCCTGGACATTGTTGGGTATTTTCTGCCCCCCAACATACTCGATCCAGCTCATTTAGGGCTGGATCAGGTGTGTTAGGACAGGGAAAAGTGGAAACTGTGCAGGGCAGTGGGTTCCAAAGTTCCAGGACATAGTTGTATAGATGTTATGTTAAAGAGGTATCTTTACAGATGCTTCTGAAAACATGTTCACAAACAAGTCAGCAAGATCCAGCCAATATAATTGTTAAAGTAAATAAACATTTATTTTAACACTGCGCAGTTACAGTGTTAAATATTACATAGTTAGTGGCTCTGCATCATATCGGGTTTAATAAGAAAATCATTCCAATTCAGGATTCAGTTCACCACCTCTCACCTGTTGTGTACTCTTAGGATGTGCATATGGTAAAATGGACTGACATTGACTATGAAGGAATTGGATTTAACTATGTATCATATGTATTATCATTTGTGGCCTTCTTATATTTTTGAGCTAGCTTCTCACAAACACAGTGCTTTGACACAGGATTGCTAACTAGATTACTAACACTGTCCATTTCTGCTTTTACAGTGCTAGGTGAACGAATTAAATGTTGGTGTGCTGGTTATTGTAGCAAATAACATGAGCGAAATAATCTGTGTTCCATAAATTGTTCTTTTGTATTTTGCACTTATACTATTGGAAATGCCGTGAAAAATAAATTATTGTTCATAACGTTGCTGGCAGTTTTTTTGTGTGTATTTTTGTATATTTATATATTTATAACATTTTATATTATATTTTTTGCCACGTGTTGAGGCACTTCTAGAAGCTCTCTTAGCTTATACTAAGGGGGATTACCTGTGGTGACATATGGGTCTGATTTGTGTTACGATTTATGATCCTGATCATGTATTTTCCTCACAATATTATTAAATGAAGAGGAGCAGTACTTGGAAAAGGAAGAAGGCTAGAAGAGTCACCTAGTCACCATAATGAAGACAAGAAAAGTGAGAAGAACATCCAGCCATCAAAGGATGAAGAGCAGATAAACAAATCAAATAAAAAAAATGCATGTCCAAAATTAGCGTCACTTTCATAATAAAAAAACAGTGTTGCTCTCAAGTCGTGTCGGAAGTGTCGTATTTTCGAGATGGACGCACATGAACGCCACCACAGTGACGTATTTACTAGTGTGAAACTGATTTGTCAACGAGCCCCGAGTTTCCGAGTTGGGGGCGTCAACAAAAAAGTAATGATAGCCGCTGATAAACTGACTGTAATTCAGATCATCAGCCAACCTTAACACCGCAGGCTGAAACCATCCACACATTATAACACGTTACAGTTATGTGATCCATGTGCATTAAAACTACTCTTCTTATCAGCATCTTCTGCTTTTTACTTTGCTGCAGCAACGCAAAATACACAGACATGACAGAAAAACTAAAGTAAATAAAACATTATTTCCAGTGTGTCTATTTTATTTCCAACCAAAACCGCTTAAACACAAATCAAAACGTACCTATGACCTCCGAAGTCGTAGAAACGTCCGAGGAGGACCTGAAGGCAGTATATGAAACCCTGTGCACTAGGTGGGGCTGGAATCCTCACTTGTTCTGCTTGGTCAGGCGGACAGCTGGGAAACTTCACGGATGTGTGCTGACATTATATTATTACACTGCGACATCTACTGGACACTATGGGTTATGCGTATTATTAAAACTGCAGTAACGCACATGAGGAAGATTAACAGAAACCGGAAAATCTTTGTGTTCACAAGAAAAACTCAGGGAAAAACCCGCTTTGGTTTAGGTGCGGACAGTTCAGCCCTTTAAGCCTGTGATAACAGACCCTCAACGCCCGCCATCATCACCGACTAACTTCATCTTATCCTCACGACCCCCACAAATTCATCATTTTACAGGCGGATTAGATCACAGTGTTGGTGTAGAAACACTGTCGCGAGCCATTTTGTGTTTGGGATTTCCCGTTCAGACAAAAAGAGGAAGTGCAGCTCTCCTCTCTGTAGAGTGCGAAGTTTCTGAATCGAAAGTGAAACAGAACAGAGAAGATGGCGGAGGCAGCTCGACAGCTCTCACTGTTTTTGCTTCTTTTCGTTGTGGGTAAGTCAAATCCTCAGTGTTTGATTTGTTAAGTGTTAATGTTAATGTCAGGGAGTGAGTTCAGAGTCGTGTAGCTGCAGTGAGCAGATCAGCAAAGCTCGTGGATGAAGCGGTGTAGCTGAGCTCAAGGGCGGGTCAGGAGAGGACAGGCTAGCAAGACGGCTCGACAAAACCTCACTTTGTGAAACGCTGTAAACCGCATTCTGTAGTATATTCTGTCACTATGTAGTATATTCAGTTAAGAGACACGAGTTTTAATGTTGGTTTTATGTTTAACTCATATCATGTTGATGATTTTCAGACATGTCCAGTTTTGTCGAATACCTGTTTGCTATCCTGTACTTTACCTCTGTAGCTTACTAATATTACTAATGTCCATTCTGCAGTATGTGTCAACGCTGAGAGCACGGTCATTATGCTATGAAAGATGTTTGTTATACTAGTTCGTATGAAATTTGACCATATCTAAGTTGTTAGCTGTATGCTAATAAGCCAATCAGGTGTGCAGTGCAGTAGGCCTCTGTGCAGCTGTAGGATTAGCCTGCCTGTTCTGTTTCTGGCGTTGTACTGTGATATTGTAACATATTCTCTGTCCCATAACTGTTCATTTATTTCTTTTTTTAGGTGATATATTTTGTGTTGAGGTTGTTCCTGTTCGGACTGGGGGAAACTACACTTTCAAGTCTTCTGTATCAGGAACACCTCAGACCATTCTGTGGAAATTCAACAAGAACAAAGCGGTTGAGCATGAAAATAATGAGTTGACTTGGTATAGATTTGAAGGTCGAGCAGATCTTGATATTAAAACTGGAGACTTCACACTCAAGCAGCTGAGAAAAGAGGACAGTGGTCATTATGAGTCTGAAATCCAGGTGGCTGGAAAACTACAGTATTCCAACCATGAGATTAAAGTGATTGGTAAGTGACTCGTGTTATGATCTACAAAGATTTGAACCTGAGAGACAAACACGCAAACTGTTGTTATTAAATGTTTGAATACACTAAGCCAGTTTTGATTAGTCATAGTGATTTGGAGCTGGTTTGGGTGGGAATGCTCGCATGTCAGGAAAGATATTCAGTGACAAAATAGTCAGCCAAAATAAAAATATAACTACTGCTATGTTATAAACATAACTCCTTTTTCACATGATAATGTTATTTTCATTTGTTTTCTCAAGATCTTGTAATATTTATATCATTATCATGACATAACGAACATTGTTTTGTCATATTATCATTATTTTGATTTCAAGAAGACATTTATGTTGTGATGGTTTAAATAACTAGAGATCTTGAGAAAACAAATCAAAATAACTTGTTAGCACTGAAAAACAGAGTAAAAAAAAGCAGCGAGTCCATGGCCATATAGGGCTGCTTACTCACACCTACAGTGGTTCTGTAAGTTTGAAGTCAAGGAAAACCCCCTTCGGATGATGTATCTAGAAGGTCGGGGAACTTTGGAAGAACTACAGTTGTTCTTGGGTGGATTTTTGGAGGCTGTTTTTATTTTATTTTTTTTACCTGGCAGAAGGAATGCAGATCATTAATGCTAGTGATAGGAAGCTGAATATTTTGTTGCAGTCATATAAAGTAACTGTCTTTAAATCAACCTTACAATGGAGAGTGAATTACTCAAATGACAGAACTAACTTGTCAGATGAGAATGACAAAAAGCCAAGGACCAAAGTTAGCTCTTTGTCTTCTTTTCTCTGGCTGAAAGAGGTAAAAAAATGTGCTGAATGAAAATAGAAGTGCTCTTTTCTGTACGGTTCAGTTTTCAAGGTAAATTTGCACTAGTGCTAGCTTGATCATATTTATTAGCCTATAGTACATAAGTAAGTAACCTTTATTTATATAGCACTTTTCTAAGCCAAATCTACTTCTCAATGAAATATTAAAATTTAAAGAAAAAAATAAAATAAATAATAAAAACAAATAAATCAGTCAAACAAACCCAAAACAATAAAAAACATAACATAAAATAAAAAACATGTAAGTATAAACACAGCAAAAACAAACGAGTATGCTGCCTGTCATCACAACTCATGAAAGTTAAAGAATAAAAATGGGTTTTAAGGCATTTCTTAAAAGTGGTCATGGAATCAGAGAGTCTAAAATTAAGGGGGAGACCGTTCCAAAGTTTAGGGGCACAAGTGGCAAATGCACAGTCCCTCCTTTGCTTCAGTTATGTTCTTTGACCAGATTACAGCTTTTGGGTAGAGGACCTCAAAGACCAGTAAGACAATATCAGTTCTAAGTTTCACTAGGAGCCAGTGGAGAGAGGTAAGCTCTGGGTTAATGTGATCCTTATGTTAATCTTTGTAGGGTGACAAGCAGCTGCTAACTGAAGCTGCGTCAGAGCTCCTTGATTAAGGAGAGTAAATAAGGTGTTACAGTAGTCCAAGTGAGAACACAAATGCATGAATATTCCTTTCACTTCTAATTTGTACAGCATTTTTTAACTGTAAATACACAGTTGAACAATTTCAACCGAAAATCAAAAATCATACCCAAGGACATCTTATTTCCCATAGACGCTGATTTGTTTGCTGATTAATTGTTAAATTAATAAGATCCATATAAGTAAGATCTATAGAGCTCAGCTAGCAGTCAGGATTGGTTGACAGCAAGAGACTGTCTGATGGATTTGGGTAGTGCATGCTGGGTATTGTGAGAGAACACCAATGAACAAAAACAATATAAAACGGTGAGTTCTGGAAACAGGGTAGGCTGAGGGATACAATGCTGAACTATAGAATACTGCATAACAGGACAAATGGCACATTAAACTCTAGTTTTAGGACAGAAATCCCCTTGAAGTTTTTGTTGGTCCATATGCACGCTACATTTTCACAATGCTTCCACAAATAGTGTGTTCCAGGCCTTTAAGACATGAGGTGAAATCGTCAAATATTAGTTTCTGTAGAGCTATTAAGACATCAGTTTTTCATGCACATATTTTATTCCATTTGTATTTTATTGAGTACAACAAAACGTCAGGAAACATCAGAAGTGCACATCAGTGAAAATCTTGTGAATGCTAAATATTGGTGTTTCATCTAGTAATATATTCTGTACATTTTCATATGTGATCCTTCATTGAACATTGCCTAAAAAGAACACATTCTACCTTCAGATGCACTTCCACAGCCAGAAGTGACATGTGAAGTAAACAGTACAGGAAAATCACTCCTGTGTTCAGTGGGCTCTGTTAAGGCAGAATTTACCTGGAATGTGCCAAATGACAACAGTAAAACTGGAGAGAGAATCAGCATTGGCAGTGAGCAAAGCCTTAAATCAGTCTACATCTGCATTGCCAAAAATGAAGTGGATGAGAAGAGCACAGAGTTTTCTCTTCAGGAATGTAACACAGGTAATGCTTCCCTTCATAAAGTTTGGCAGTTTATTGTTGATACCCACTTAACGCTTTAGGTTTGGATCTTAGTGTGTTATCACCATCTTATGTGTTAATCGGTGAAATATATTTTGTTCAGCACAGTCACTCCAATTGGAACATGATCCATAGAAATTGAATGTGTAATTTATATTGAATGTAAGATTATTTGTTATTTACCTTATAATTACTGTTATTTTTTGCAGGTGGACCTGGTGAATCGCTGGTTGCCATAATTATAGCAGTTATCTTATCTGTAGTCATTGTTTGTGTGGTTGTTGGATTATACTTTGGAAAAAAACGAGGGATATGTGGGAGAGGGAGCAAAGGAAATGGTATGACAATTTATAAATATACTAACATAGAAATATGATGGGAATATTTTTTCTACAGTTAGCTCTGGTTACAGTATTTCTTTTGTTCTTGTGTCAAAGCAGAAGGCTACTATCAGTACAAGCCTGTTTCCAAAAAAATACGGTACAGTGTGCAAATTGCAATTAAGAACAAAATGCAATGATGTGCAAATCATTTAAACTCTGTTTATTTGAAAATAGTACAAAGACAACATAGCAAGTGTTTAAACTAAAAACTTCTTTTTTTTTTTTAAATTTGCCCATTTGGAATTTGATGCCAACAGTTTCAAAAAAATGGGACTGGAGTAAAAAAGACAATAAAGTTGTGTAATGTTAAGAAAATCACCTGGTGGATCATCTCAGTTAGATTAATTGGCAGCAAGTCAGTAACATCACTGGGTAGAAAAAGAGCATCCTACAGAGGCTGAGTCTTTCAGACGTAAAGATGGGGAGGGTTCACCGCTCTGTGAAAGACTGTGTATGCAAGCAGTGCAACAATTCAAGAATAACGTTTCTCAACATAAAATAGGAAAAGAACTTGGGGATTCCATCATGTACAGAACATAATATCATTAAAAGATTAAAAGAATCCAGAAAAATCTCTGTATGCAAGGTTTCAAGGCCAAAAATCAATATTGGATGGCTTTGATCTTCAGGCTGTCCGGCCCATTTAGAAAACCACTGTCTGTGAACAAATTTCTTTGCTGCGTCCACTATCATGAATAGAAGAAATAATATATAAACAGGATCCAGAAACGCTGCCATCTTCTCTGGGCCTGAGCTCATTTAAGATGGACTGAAGTGAAGTACAAAGGTGTCCTGTGGTCTGATGAATTATGAAACGAAGAATATGACAAAGAAGACCCTGAACTGTTGAGCAGCTGAAATTCTATAGCAAGCAAGAATGAGAAAACATTTCACTTGCAGAGTGTTGTTAAAAGATAAGGGGATGCAGCATGCCCCTGCCCCAACTTTTTTGAAATGTGTTGCTGGCATCAAATTTAAAATGGGCATGTATTTCTTAAAAAACAATAAAATTTCTCTGTTTGAACATTTGCTATGTTGTATTTGTACTGTTTTCAATTGAATATAGGGTTTAAATGATTTGCACATGATTGCATCCTGTTTTTTAATTACATTTTGCACATTTTTTGGAAACGAGTTGTATACAGATGAGGCCAAGGCTGGTGACTGATGCCATGGTTCATCATAGGTATTCATATTTAGAATGAATCTTTCTCCTGATAATGCATTTAATAAATTAAGTGGATTACCTGTGATGAATTATGGCTCTGATTTATGTTCTGGCTTATGGTTCTGAGCATGTTTACCTCACAATTTTGAATAGATTTAGAAAAACAGCACAATGAAACACATCAAGAAGGGATACCTTTAACAAGCAATTCCACTGAAGTTTTGGGCAGTCAAGAAAAAATTGACACTGTGCATCAAAAACAAGACTTGGCTGGAGACTTGGCTGAAGGACCATCAGAGGAGCTGTCAGATACAAAAGAGGCGAAAGAAAAGAATCAGCAGGACCATGATATGGATGGAAAAGCGCATACAAGTAAGATACATAATGTTTGCAGAATAAAACTCTACTAAAGAACTGTAACATTCATAGGGCTCCTGCGAGTGTTGATTTCTGTTCAGTGAATGCGCATGCCTAAGGAGACATACATTTGAGGGGGAACTGAAGTGAATGCAACACTGGAAAAGGGTATAATTCATGTTTGTTAAATTACTTATAGTAGGATATGCTTTTTAAAAGTCTGTTGTTCTTGTAGCTGCTAAATACACTCATTGTTAAGCCCTAAAGTCGTCTGCCTGCCACTGTAGATTTCTATTGAATAGGTGTTTAAGAATATGTCTAGGATAGAATCTGTGCTTATTCTAGGTTCGCAGTGCTAGTGTGTGTGTTTGTGTGCATTGGACTTGATGGGACATGTACCTCATCTAATTCATTTATTTATGCCATTATTTTAGACACATTTCTTTGTGCAAGTATTTATTTTGTCGTCAAAATAAAATGAACGCAAATGAAATTGGTAAAATAGTTGATAGAGTAATCGACAGAAAATTGTCGTTAATGGCAGCCCTAAAGTTTAACCCTAGACAATAGAATAGTAAATGCTATAGAACAGAAATATGTGCTTAAGTGTTGCTCAGTATGTATTGTGCCAGCTCTTTCAGCTGTTACATCCTGATATTAAAATCCATCCAAATATTTTTAACAAAAAGTCAAATGAAGAGAAATGATGACCATAATTATTTTGCAGAACTACCTATAACACCAAACCTAGGAGATGAGTGAATTGCTTGTTGGTGTTGTTTGGAAACTTTGATGTTCAAACAATGAAAAAGACAAAATGGCATCCTTAAGAGAATGTCTATTCTCCTTGATGCATTGTCACTTCACCACAGTGCACACAGGTTTGCATTGGGATTACAATGTCATGATACATTATTCCACTCCTAATTCTTGTCATGTTTATAATTTTGAGTGAATTGTTGAAAGCTGCTGACCTATGGATGCTTTAAAAGTGAATTGTTTAAAAGTGAAGTGCTTGTTGTATCTATTTTAAATACATGTGCAAAGTACAGCCAAAAATACATAGTGTTAAGTTTTATCTACCATCCACATATGTGCTACAGATTTTACATTATAAGGTCACTCCCATGAATTTCAGTTCAGTGGACGCGGCATATGACTTTCTCTGTTTTTTTAACCTGCAGGTTCTCCATTTAATGGTGAGGTGCCTACACTTGCTGCACCCACTTATCAGGAAAATACACAGTCTGAAGACAAGGACGGTCCATCAAGCAGCATGGCTGATGAGACTGAGGATGCAGAAAAAACAAGTGATGGAGGTAAAGTAGTTACTGCGGGAAAATCATATTACAGAATCAACAGTGAAGAACAAGATATATTAGAAGAGAGATAAAGAACTGGAGAATAATGAATAACAGGAGTTTATACATAGTCAGGTTATGCAATATGAACATCAAAGGCAAAGTTGTGCATTTATTATGATCAGAAATTGATTGATCAAGAACCAATTTTTTTGTTTGTTTTCTTTACTGTGTTCAGCTGATGGTTAAAATGTTGCAACACCACAGCTACATATAATTAGAAATTATCTTACAAATGCAATTACTCGAAGTAACAGGCAGGATGTCTAATGATAATTTTAGGCTGTCCAAGAATCTGACATATTTTTAGTTTTGCTGTGTTTTTAGACTTTCATGTGAAGGACACTATAGCAGCTGTTTTTCCAAAGCTAATTACAAGAACTTGGAAATTATTGTTTTCAGACTGTTCCATGCAGTTTCACTACCATGGCTTTTCCCAAGCTTTGCTCTAGGACTCGGTGGGTGTTGCCCTGCCCTACTTTAGTTTTTGTGTGTGTGTGGAGGGGGGTGATGCTCCCCATGACTGGCACCTCTGTTTACAAGTTTTAAGTCCTTCACATTTAAAAGCATTCACATCCTCTCTTTACACAAAGAACTTAGCAAAGTATGGTATAAGAAAGGCTACGTAATGTAAACATCAATTTCAAAGGTGCTCAGTATGTATTGTGCCAACTCTTTCAGCTGCTACATCCTGTAGTCTTTTTTAATAAGAGTAGAACTGCATTTAATCCTCAAAGATTAATTCAAAACAGGTGATCCACCAATTTTCCAGATATGTGAAGTTTAATTATATTAGTATTTGGGAAAGTTTGGGCTTGTGGTTCTGAGGGCTCTGATTATATTATCAAAAGGGGTGTAACAATACACTCAGCTCATGACTCAATTCAATTCGATTCACAGTACTGGGTTCATGATTTGATATTTCCACAATATTTTTAACAAATTCAAAAGCAGAGAAATGATGACCATAATTATTTTGCAGAACTTTCTATGACACCAAACCTAGGAGATAAGATGAGTGAGTTGCTTATTGGTGTTGTTTGCAAACTTTGGTGTTCAAACAATGAAAATGCACAAAATGGCATCATTAAGAGAATGTCTATTCTGCTTGATGCATTGTCACTTCACCACAGTGCACACTTTCACAGGTTTGCATTGGGATTACAATGTCATGATACATTATTCCACTCCTAATTCTTGGCATATGACTTTCTCTGTTTTTTTAACCTGCAGGTTCTCCATTTAATGGTGAGGTGCCTACACTTGCTGCACCCACTTATCAGGAGAATACACAGTCTGAAGACAAGGACGGTCCATCAAGCAGCATGGCTGATGAGACTGAGGATGCAGAAAAAACAAGTGATGGAGGTAAAGTAGTTACTGCGGGAAAATCATATTACAGAATCAACAGTGAAGAACAAGATATATTAGAAGAGAGATAAAGAATTGGAGAATAATGAGTAACAGGAGTTTATACATAGTCAGGTTATGCAATATGAACATCAAAGGCAAAGTTGTGCATTTATTATGATCAGAAATTGATTGATCAAGACGATTGGGGGGTGTTGCCCTGCCCTACTTTAGTTTTTGTGTGTGTGTGGAGGGGGGTGATGCTCCCCATAACTGGCACCTCTGTTTACAAGTTTTATGTTCTTCACATTTAAAAGCATTCACATCCTCTCTTTACACAAAGAACTTAGCAAAGTATGGTATAAGAAAGGCTACGTAATGTAAACATCAATTTCAAAGGTGCTCAGTATGTATTGTGCCAACTCTTTCAGCTGCTACATCCTGTAGTCTTTTTAATAAGAGTAGAACTGCATTTAATCCTCATAGATGAATTCAAAATAAGTGATCCCCACTCAAAAAAAATGAATCTTTGAACTTACTTATTTATTCATTTGAACAGGTTCCACATAATTAAGTGTATTCTACTTTTATTGCAATTCTTAACTATGATTACTTGATTCATTTAGTTCCAACATGATTAGTTAATGTTAATCTAACATGTTTTTCCTGAGATTAACATAAATTAACTGAATAAAATTAACACTGTACATTGTCTGTGTTGTTTTTAAGCAATAGCTATAAGTTAGTTTAACTTGACTCTTTTTTTAACCTGAAGTTATTTTAATAAATTTAACTAAACGTAACGTCAACAGGTTCCATACATTTAAAATTAAGTAGATCCATCTAAATTTTGAATACAATACATTTTTTGTTTAATAATGATAGGAAATGTTTTTTTATCAAATCAGATTTCCTTAAAAAGTGGATGAAAATATTTTTTGCAGAAAAATTAAATAAAAACTAAACATAGCAAACCAACATGACTGCAAAGAAGACATTAAAGACAATCCAGCAATGCACTGTAAATACATTTTTTGATCATCCTTATTTGCCATACTGCTAGTGTACAATTATACATTTTGATAGTTACACAGTTCATTGAGGAACAACAACTTTAGGTGCATCTCATGGCACTTTCTGCCTATCCACTTTAGTCACTTGTTCTAGATTGATTCACAGGAGACTAAAAAAAACCCCAAAAAGGAGCCCTCTTTTCATTTTTTTTATTTAAAATTTTCAGTTTGATTTTTAATATAAATGAAAAAGTTCAATACATTTCTTGTTTAAACGGTCATTGCTGGACACTGACCTCTGAATGAACTCCTGTGGCAAGTGTATAAAAGTAGTTCAGTGCTGTCAATTGCACCGGACATGCTTAATGTCAGTTATTTGGTCTACTGCCATCTCATGAAGTTTGTCAACCGACACACGATTTATACTGAGTTTCCAAGTTATTAGGTACACTTTCTTTACATGTACACTCACTGGCCATTTTATCACCATAAGCATTCTTGCTTATGTTCATGCTGTGCAATATACATTCATCATTGGAAAAGGACCACCGTACACTTACACATTACCACTTATCTTTTTTTCCCATGCAGAATTTTTAATAGTCGTCCGAGTTCTGTAGTCATTTTAACTATTCTGCCCATTGATGAAGGGCTTTTCAAATTGACTTTTGACTTTTTCGTAGAATCAAATTACAGTTAAATATTTCATCTCCTCCTCTCCCCATATGCTACCGCAGCTCATTTTTACTTTTCTTCTGGTTCTTCTGCAAATGGCCTTTAGAAGCTGCTCATGGGAGGTGCATGCCCCCATTAAAAAGAGGCTATTTATGCTGTTGTTTTATGTTGCAAATTATTGTTCTTCAGGAAATTGTGTGTATATATTTATTTATGCTGTGGTTCAATAGAAAGAGCAATCCCGTGCAGAAATTATGGCCTTCCTGACTATTTTTCTACATGATGCTACAATACATTTTAAACAAACAAGCTCCTATATTTTTAGTTTGTTGAGCACGATTCAAATAATTAAACTTAACAGTTTCAGTTTTTGAGTGCACTGATTTTTCAGACAAGTCAAGTCTATCATAATTGTGTTATTTGTGGAAGTTATATGATCCAGTGCATCTGGGAAAATTTGGGGTTGTGGTTCTGAAGTGAATGCAATTTACAATTGTGGTTTTAATTTTGAGTGAATAGTTTGGAAGTTGATGAAATGTTCCTCCTATGAAATGTTGCTAAATGATAATCAAAGGTAAATTCCTTATTTTATCTATTTAAAAAGCAGAGTGAGTAAGTTTTATCCACCATCCACATCTGTGCTCCAGATTTTGAATTATATGTTCAATCCCATACATTTCAGTTCAGTGGATATGATGTATGATCTCTGCAGGAGCTTCATATCACAGTGAGGAGGGTCAAGAAAACGCTGGACAAAACCAGAGTCCATCTGCTGTACCCAATAGTGCAGAGGGGAGACAGACTCAAGACAAGGACGCTCAATCAAGCAGCATGCCTGATAAAGGCGAGAATGTGGAAGAAGGAAATGATGGAGGTAAAATATTTACTCTTGGAAAATCATACTGTAGAATCAACAGTGAAGAAGAAAGAAGTGATGTAGTAGAAAGAGAGATGCGGCATTGGAGACTTTATATAAACAGGAGTTTATGTAAAGTCAGGTCACACAAAATAGTTATATGAACACAACAAAAAATGTGCTTGTGTTAACTGATACTGTTTTTATGGCTTATTATTCTGCGTGTGCCATATTTAAGAGCCATATTTAACAACTGAAGTAAATCCAAAATATTATGACATCAGTGAAGAGGACAACATGGGAAACATTTTATTACTGGTTTATTACTTTTATTACTACCAAAGTAATAAAAACAGAAATTAACATTACATATACAGATGTTAATATTGCATGGAAAGCTGGCTAGTCTCCATACAAGGCTAATGGCTAATGGCTAACAGCTAACCCCAAGACAACAGTAATACCAAAACTAATACCTTAAAAAAATTTCAGCTGATATACAGGGTAAACTGGTACATCTCACACTACTAATCAAGACTTTTTCTGTGTTGTTCAGGTGATGCCGAAAATCAAGCAACATCACTTCTACTTTTGATTGCAAATAGTGTAACAAATGAAACTACTCCAGGTAACAGTTAAGATGTCTTATGATTTAAAAAAAGTGAAATAAGGATGATCTTCTGTCTGGAACCAATAGTATAATATTTGTAGTAGCCTAAGATTGTGTATGTTGTACTTTTTTGTATATTTTATTGTATGGCTATTTTGTCTCTAATATTTAGCACTAATATGACAACACTTTTGCCTTTTTACTGATCATATTTTCCCTTTACTGCTTGAATGGTTTAAATGTTTTTCTGTTATGTTTAATGAAATTCCATTGCAATGGTGCTGTCAAGGGGGCCAAGGGGGGCCACGACCGCCCTAATAACAATCACTGGTTTCCCCAGTGCCCCCCCTAGTGAGTCGCGTGTGCATAACATGTTTCTGTCTGGTATTTTACAGTAGCTACTAGGGCTGTCAACAAATATTCAAAATTCAATTATATAATCATACTATAATAAAAGACATTTAAACATGAAAATTAATATTTGATTGTGAACCAAAAGCAACATTACCGTGGCTGCATGCAACCTACGCAAGCTACGCATTCCAGCACTAACAAAAACGTGCACCCAAATTCATCTGATTCAGTTCCTCCTTAAATTTGCATTCCCCCTGATAAATGGTGGTCACAGGCATGTGCATACATGCAGCACTGAAACAAAGGAATGCAAAATGGGTGAAAAAGCCTTGTACCTCCGTTTAATAATCCAATCACCAGCAAAATAAAGATTTACACCCTTCTTGGACTTTTTTTTACTTTCTGTAGTTGCAGTGTTTAGGGCTGATTTCTTCTCAGTGAATGCACACTCCGGGGATTTGATTCGTGAAGGGGAACACGAATTTGAGGGGGAACTGAATCTGATAATATACTTGTAATACATTTGTTTTATTGGTTTGCCCTTTTACAGACATAATGCGCAAAAATAGATGTTCAAATGGTTGGAATCTGTGAGTTTTTAGAAGGAATAATCGAACATCATTTTTGGCCAATTTTGACAGCCCTAATGCATGTCAGATAAGTAGTAACATTAGTTGTAAAAAAGAACCTAAACTAAATCAGAATGCAGTTCCTTAACTAATCCATATACTACAACAGCATGAGAGAATAAAAAAAATCCTGGGGGTGCCACTGTCCCAGCACTTTCCGCTCAGTTAATTAAAAGTGAAATAATCTGTTAAATTCAGTGAATAAAAATGGAAGTAAACTAGAATTTAAAGTTTAATTTAATTACAAGAACATGGAAATTAAGAAAATAGGGGTTTCACTTTAAAATCCAAGGAGTGTGAAAAAACACTGGACAGCAGTGTCATCAGATCTTTATACCAACTTTGACAGCTCTACATAAATTTAACAAGTATCAAAATCAGCTGTTGGGAGGGTTGAGGGATAATAGAAAGTATAGCATGGTTAAATACACAGGTGCTGTAATCATCATATGCAGGATTTTTAAAAAATCTGTAGCTAAATCTGTCTACAAAGTATGACGGTTCTAGCTTTCACTCAGGGAGTATCAAAATAAACACAAAAGCAATATAATTGATCATAGTACAGAGGTTTTGAGATAGCTTAATTGTATTGTAAAATTAGTGTTTAGAAATGTTTAAGGAAGAATAATAAAAAGAAGAGGAAATAAAAGAGCAGCAGGTTAACAAAAGCATCGGTTTTGTCACCAGAGCTCCTACTTGTTCCATCTTCTCAGTAACCCAATGCCTGTCCTTGCTCTTGTGCTTATGTATTTTTATTTTATTTCGCACACTACAAACACAATGACCAAGTAGGAAAGTATGATTATGCAGGCATTGATGTCCAAAAAGCAGTTGCTCACAAGACGTTTACATTCAAAAGGAGAGAGAAAACATAGAGGGAGCTGAAAATGATATACAATCTCAAATCAGAAAAAGTTGGGATGGTATGTTCAATTAAAATGAAAACCGAAAACAGTAATTTATAAATTATTTTTCACCTGTATTAAATTGACAACAGTACAACAGCATATTATTTGAAGTTTTACCTCATGGATTGTATTGTTTTGTTTTCAGTCAATTTTGATTCCTGCAACATATTTTAAAAAGTTGGGACAGTAAAGCATTAACCACTTTTTAATGTTGCCAATCCTTTTCACAACACTTAAAAGACATTAAGGGACTGAAGACACCAAAAGATGAAGCATTTCATGTGTAAATCTCCTAAATCTATATATACTTTCTGACATTAATGGTCCCACCACAGAAGTGTAAGTTACCTTTACCAAGGGCACTGAAACAACCCCATACCATGCCAGACCCTGGCTTTTGGACTTGTTGCTGGTAACAATCTGGATGGTCCTTTTCATCTTTCAGCAGATGGTGTCCATTTCTTCCAAAAAATACCTGAAATACTGTTTCCTCTGACCACAATACATGTTTCCACTGTGTGATGGTCCATCCCAGTTGCCTCTGAGCCCAGAGAAGTTATAGCGTTTTTGGACACATTTAACATCAGGCTTGCTTTTGGCACAGTAAAGCATTTGTGGAAATAATTACATGTTGTAGTAATCCTGAGCCCATGTAATTATTTCACTTATAGATGAATGACGGTTTTTGATGCTGTGCCTTCTGAGAGCACAGTTATTCAGCTTAGGCACAACCCTTGACCTTTACGCCCTGAAATTTCTCCAGATTCCTTGAATCTTTCAATTATGTTATGCACCATAGAGGGTAAAATATCTAAATCACTTCCTAACTTTCTTTGAAGAGCATTCTTTTTAAACATTTTAATACATTTCTCACGCATTTGATGGCAAACTGACGATCCTTGGCCCATCTTTGCTTCTAAACAACTAAACATTTCCTGGATGCTGCTTTTGTAGCAGATCATGATTACAGGCATTACCTGTTTCAAATCACATCATTACTTAATTATTTTACCTCATTACTAGCTCTAAAGTGACCCCGTCCCAACTTTTTTTTAATGTGTTGCAGGCCTACATGACAAATGAAATGAAGCTGATCAGAGAAAACATGAAATATATTGTGTTCATACTGTCTGCAATGAAGTACAAGTCAAAGAAAATGTTACAAATCACTGCTTTCTTTTTTTATTTGCATTTTCCATACCATCCCAATTTTTGGGGGTTGTATTTCATATGTAAAACCACCAGTGAGCACCCAAATAATCAGTATCCAGAAAATTACCTCTTTCCCAAACTTAGCTGTGCCATGATTCTCACAGATACTGAGAAAATCCCAAACGACAGTAGCGTAATGTAGGAATGCATTTTTATAAATTTGACCAGAGACAGGCTGGGAATTTTGAAAAGCTATGCTGGCGAATGTCGGTTAATTTATCTCATGTGATGTTTTAATCCACTTTAAGACTACTTGTGGTATTCTTCATAGATACTTCTGGGCGGTATACATACATATTAAATTAAACAGCACTGTGTTTCCCAGTGTTCTTATTATTAAACTGGGATTATAGTAAAGATCATTTCTATTTGATATTTTATGTAATCCTTTTTTGGCTGCAGGAAGAGTTCAAAAGGAAATAGAGAAGATTGAGAATCAGGCATGGAAGCCAAAAGAGATTTATTGTGAGTAGCAGTTAGCAGAGTACCTTTTTATTGGAAAACGTTTTGAATATTTTTGAATTTTTTAATTGAAGTTTTCCTTTTAATTTCTTTTATTTTCAGCAAGGAGTGCTAACCAGAAAGGAAATGGTGACATAAAATTGATAAAATAGCTGTTTATAGGGCCAGCAGGCAAGTGTCAAATGGTTGGGTTCATGACTCCTATCTCTTAGTCATGATCTGGGCTAGTAACATTATAACACATCTGCTACCCACTGCACAGCAAAAACATGGCATTGCTGACCATATATAAACAAAATGGTAAATACCACCTTGTCTGGCACGCTAGCATTCCTTATGTGAACGCTTTGTTGTTAGTCAGCTAATCACAATGTTTTTTCATGATCCCTAACAAGCATTTTTAGTTCATTTTAAAAAAACTCTTTACACATCTCTCTGCAGAAACACAAAGCTAGGCCTACAGCAGCCAAAACACTACAAAAACAGTTAAAAAAATAAACCCATTCCATCAAAACAGTACCAATCTTGCAAAACCATTTTTGCCAGGCAGAGCACAGTTACCTAAAAATAACTCATAAATGTCAGTATGAAGGTAGATCCATAATTTTATGTAAATCTACGATGTAGTAAAGACTTTTTTTGCCCTTTAGTTTGTTTTGTAACTGGGTTATTATTTTTTGGTTGATCATGTAAATAATTCATGCATACATAAAGGAACTATATAGGAAAAAAGTGATACCAAAGAAAATCCAGTACTTTACATCTTGTATGATCTGGCAAAGAAAAAAATCTCACAAGTACCATAAATGCTTAGTTTGTCTGGTCTGCTCAATAGAGATGGGATGAATTTGACTATCACATTGATGTTGTCCGTACAGCTGGAGGTCATACTGAGCACTTGTAAAATTACATAACAGACTTTATGCTCATTTAACCATTTACAATTCACTGCATCGTTCGGCAATGAATTACAAGTGAAATAAATCATGTTGAAATCAGATAAAACCTTTTTCAATCACCCTATGTAATGCATAAAGTGTTCTTAATGTATGCAAGTACTCTACTTTGCTTGAAGCTGACTGAGAGAAGTAAATGTAAGAATTTTGGGAATTGTGTTCACTGAATGCATTTTATATTCAAGGAAAAGAATATTCATGATTTGGTCCACATGGAATGTTGCTGTGCTAACTGTGAAAGGAGTTTTAGAAAAGAGAACTCGGTATGGAAATGCTTGTCAGCAGTTGTGGAAAAAACCTTAAAAGTAGCTTAACTGCTTGGCTTAGTGCTGCTGCACTTCACTCACACAACCCCAGCATGATATTATAGTGGCAAACCCAAAGATACTTGGCATCCCAGCCAAACACCAAACAGGGGTTTAACTTACCCCTCATACAGCAGCAGTGGAGATGTCACTACAGTATCGTTGGTGGAGAGATTATTTTATTGCATTTTTTGCCATCCCTTGCTCATTCTAGCCCTATTGATTTATGTATGTCTATTGACTACTTGACTAGTTGGGCAGGCCTTTTGTTTGATTAGCTAAGGTCACAGACATACAAGGTGGTTGTCAGTGGGCAGCATTCATTGTGTTGTAGATTTTTTTGTGATTTTCGAATCGAAATGTTCATTTAAATTGTTAAATTAAAAAAAAGTTTTCATTTCTGGAGTTTCTTCTGATTTCTTTGGTGTGTTTAGATTTACCATACTTTCAACTTCTCTTTTACTCTATTTAAGTATTATCTTATGTTTGTCTTATATGAATACTCTGGGTTAGGCTGCGGGGCAAAAAGTGTAGCGCAGAGGCCCTTGACCAAAATAATCAGTGAGGATTGTGTATGTAGAAGATATGGGACCATATTTTTTTAAATAAAAACTAAGTGTAAATTAGTGAGAATTTATGTTTGAAAGCCCATGTTTAAAAACCGTGGCAAGTTGGTAGTCTTTTTTTATGTATGAAAACTGACACAGACTGTTACAATTACCACAGTGGTAGAAGAGATTATATATTTTTTTCAGTTTAAATGACAATCTATTGCATGTCAACACCATCATCTGCCTATATTGGAATTTCTGACTTAACCTGTTTAATGTTCCACAATTTGTCTTGTCACCATGTAAATGCTGCAAAATAAACTTGATGGCAGGAACGTGCATTTTTGGGCTTTCTTCTCCTACACAACACATTTTGACTAATAATGCAATGTGCAACTGTCTTACACTTTGTATGTCAAGCTTTTAGATGCACACTACACTGTAAGCTATTAGATTTACACTGCACAGCCAGTGTACAAACATAGCTCTTGTTTGGCACTCTTAAGATTAATCAGAAATACGTAAGGCACCTTAGGTGCAAATAAAGCTTAAAGGAGAATTACACTGATTTCAGCATATTTCAAAGCTTAAGGTGTAAACATCATTCACAGTGGTTTAATATGAAACACTGTTCTCTGTTCTGTTCCCTCACAGAAAATTACATGAAATGGTTACAAACACTTCCTGATGCCTGAGATATTGTTTCATAAGAGTTTTGTAATATGTTGACCTAAAATAGCACCCAAAAGGAATTGAAAATTTACAACTATTTTACTATGATCAACATTGCACATGAAAACTCTAGTTTTGGATAGTTGATAAAATGACCACATTTGTATTGTAGACATCAGGACCACTCTGAATTACTTACATTTCAACTGCATTATGCAGACATTAAGTATTGGTGGAATTCCACTTTAAGCTGCTTAGCCTTTGAAATTACTACACAAAGACAAGGTCATTCATGTTTGTTTCACACCAAGACATTCCAGAGATTTTCAAAGTGGGAGAGGCTTGATCATAAAACTATAACAAAAGCAGATAGCACATCTGTACAACTTATTCAGACCAGCATGTGGTGTGAAGGATTTGGCACCATAATAGTATACTAGTAACAAACAGTTCAATTTAGTTCCAGTTTCAAAAATCTTTATTTTTAGAAAATGAAAACTCCAGGGGTCATTTGTAAACCCATGACATTCTCCAAGAGCAAGAATAACAGCATTCATACATCAAAATGAAGGTGTTAAGGGAATGCACAACTCCTGATTTCACACGCTAATAAACTATAATGGCCAATTTAAGACACAAATCAAGCCAGGTCCAATATAAGGAGGGATTTTAACAAGGAATTAGACAGCATGATTTATTTCAAAGCTTAATATGGATAAGAAAAAAAGCCAGTTAGATTATATTAAAAACAGGTTAAAATAAAACATGTTAAAGCCCTTAAATTACATCTAGGTCTTATGGTTTCAAAATATAGGAAGGGGTCAGAGAAACAAGCACATTTGTAGTAAAACATTCCGCAGCTACTGCTGCTACATTTCAAAATGGCAGGATGGCAGGTCCAGACTTGAGGTGCTTAATCAGCTTCTTCCTCCTCTGATGACTCAGATTCTAAAAGAGAAACATGTTCTGAAACAACTTTCTCTTTGGCTCAGTACAGTCACTAACCATAATGACCATCACCAGTGATCTATACTCACCCTCCTCTGCATTTTTGAGCCACTCCACAAATTTCTTCATCTGTTCAAGGAAAACACTCTTTCCTTTGGCAAGGTGTGCTTCACTGTACCACTTCAGAACCGCCTCTTCACTCAGAACATCCGCTGTTAAACATTAGGAAATAAATCAGGAGATGTTTCCATTAAAATGCAAAATAGGCTTTCACAGGAGCTGCAGAGAGAACTTACCTTTATACAGTAGCACCACAATCTTTTGGAAGGCCTTCATAAAGTGGATGTTGTCATAGCAGTACTCCTGAATCTTTAGCAGTAGTGTGAGTTCTGATAAGCCCTGGGAGGTGAATGCCTTCAGGAGAGGACTGTATTGCTGTTTTTAAAATAAACATAACTCCATTGCCTCTTGAACACTTCATTAAATGGTTGAAGGTAAATTTCAATTAGAATTCCCTTAAGTCACTGTGCAAATGTTGGAGAACCATCTAGAGGACAGCATACCAAGTCACTTTCACCAATAGCTTTAACACCAACCTTACCTTCAAGTGTTTAATGGCTTGTTCAGTGACCAGCTCCTCCTTCTTGTTCCATTCTACTGAGCTCATCACACTGGTCCAGACAATTCCAATCATTGTTTGCTCAGAGATGTCAGATTTCTTCATCTCTTCCCTGACATAGGCAATGATCTTTTTAAAAAGAAGGGGAGAAAAAAAAAGGTTGAGTAAAGACAGTAAATCACTTAATTTTAAGGAAAGGCAAACAAACCACCACATGTAGTGGTGACTACACAAAGGTTAATTGACTTACCTCTTTAAAAGATTCTCCACGAGACATCTGCTCTTGGAGTTCTTTTTGAAGTTCCTTGCGAGCTCCTATAGACTGCTGATTACGTGCAAAATCTGAAAGTTCTTTAAGCCCTGCATCAGTGAAGTACTTTGAGAAGTGTTCACAGCTTCGCTTGTTGGCTGGAAACAGTTCCTGGGAGGGAAGGTAAAAAGGGGAGGGGGAGGAGGCAGCACAACCACACAAACCCACACAACACGCCACCACACAAATACACTAGTAAGAGGAACTGTTGACTTAAGACATGACATACAGAACACGAGCTCAGCTTTGGTAGACATCCTGAATCAGCAAAGAACACAAACAAAACCACTTTTTCCTGCCAACCTCACAACAGAAAATTCTACAGGACTTACCATCAGCCTGTTGTCCATTCCAACCTTACGAAGACTGACAGCCACCGAGTTGATGTCCTTCTCATTGATCCAGGATTTGAAGAGTTTCACAGCAAAGGCAGCAGAAACACCTAAAAGACAGCAAAAATGATATCCTGCAATGCAGATGATAGCACTACCCGTCACAGATTTTAAGTAATATAAGCACAGAATTCTTCATTCATTGGTGAAATTGACACTTGGTGATTCAGAGTCAGAATGGTTCTGCTTTTAAGTACAAGAAGCAGAGAAGTAGGCAATACTGTGGCCTGCCCAGTCTTCAGACAGGGGCAGTTCTCTGAGTGGGGGATGGTTTGCATCCTATATAATTTTTCAGGGAGACACTGCAAACGAACTACATACAATGAACGCAGACATCTCTTGACGTGTCACACATATAGACTTGCAGCTGAAAAAGTTGCAGCATTTCCCCAAAAAATTAAACACTCCCCCCAGACTCATGTATTAATGTTATTATTTCAGTAAGTGTTGGAGATGCTGATAGACAGCAAAATCTTTATAGTAGAACCTTGCATATTCCAATGACAGACTGGAAATTCCTGTTTATAACTACACATGATAAACTGTGCTTACAGGTCACATTTATAGTCCTCAGGACTGAAATGTTCACTGCATACCCTCATATTTGATTCCCTGTTTGGTATGTTTGTTTTAAATTGCCTGTAATCTGGTAAACCGGGTCAGCCAACACCCCTCACCCTCTTGTACATTTAGCACTCTGACATGGCATAAAAGATTAGCATTGTTTTTTCTGAAGAGCTCAAGTTAAAGATGAAAAAAAAAAAAAAATAAATAAAAAAAACACCCCAAAAACCCTAATTCACAATTTTCATGCTCACAAATAACCACAACCCTGGCAGTAGCTAGTTGCTGCACTCGACTGTGGAAGTTGTCTTAGATGAAGCGTATAGAGCAGGGGTCACCAATATTATCCACAAAGGGCTGCATGACTGCAGGTTCTCATTCAAATTAAGCAGAAGCTCACCTCATTCCACTTAATACTTAAATGTAAAGGAATTTTGCTTACCTTCTTTAACAAGGTTCTCATTGAAGAGACTGCTTAGAATTGAGGCTGATATGTTCCCGTTAGCCAACAAGATGCCAGTCAACATGGCAAGCTTGTTGCGCTCAGACTCCGTGAACCCCTTTAAAAATAGCAGCAGCTGAAAAGACATTACAGCAGTTGTTTGAAAGTCAGTTTGACGTTTTCCTTTCAACAGAACAATCCATTCAGAATGCTGTGTAGTCCAAGACCAGATTTAACCCTCGTCTGGGAAACCAGTCCTACATGAAAGCAGGAGCAATTTAAACTGATGTGTAGTAAGATAGGTAGCCAGTGTAACAAACTGAGAGCAGATTATTGGACAAGTAAGAATTACAGCAGTGTTTAGCGCCTTGAGTGTTTTGAATATTGTAATTAACTAGAGGGAAATTTGAGGGGCCAAAATGTTGAAATTAACAGTCAAAATACCTTCTTAATCTCCTCTTCGAAGCCTTTCTCCAGGTACTTGTATCGCCTGATTAACTTGTTAAAAACCTACAAGTAGATAAGGGGAGGGGTTAAAAAAAAATAAATAGATTTTGGTTACACCAAAACATTTGTTCAGAGTGATTCATGTACATGCACATAAGCAAAATAAAAGATGTCTGGCAACCTATGACATGGAAGAGAGGCAAGCCATACCATACCATGAAAACAACGCATTCTGTAACTGTGTCCTGAATGTATACACCGAGTGTGAAGATCAATGAAAACTCAGCCCCGTTTAAGTGCTCTCCTCTACTCATGGTCTCACTGACTTGCAAGTGACATGAAGTAGCTTTTTATTAATTCGGTTAGAGAAAAAGACATGCTTTGAATTTGATGTAAACTGTGTCAATGCATTTGAGGTCGGAGGACACCAAAGGCAAGTGAAAGACAGCGGCAGAGAGTGAGCAGCACTTGCATAATGTAAGCTGGTTTCTACATACAGCTAGCAAAATCTCCCGGCCCAGAATTTGCTTTTGCTCTTAATTCAAATAAGACTGTCTTCTTGCAGTTGCACAACCAACTCCTCTAATCTTTAAAAGGATGACCACTGAGAAATTTGAACAAAAAGCTGTGCAGGGAAGAAAAATCTGAGCTCAGAAGTTCTGATTTGCACACATTTAGTGTCAAACCCTTTGCAGTCATTAAGCTACTTTTTTTTAACTTTACTGAAATGCATATACTTTAGAGAAGTGCATTTTGGCCCCTTCAGCAGTTGATATAGGCATCTTTATTTTTAAAGAAGTGTTTCACACTTTTTGCTAGCAATTGTGGTTTCTGCCATTATTCAAACAGTTCAGTTCACGGTTTTCCCTGCCAGAGCACTTAAACATCTGGTAAGCTGTAGCGTGATAATCTGTTACATTTACAAACCCGTATACATTTACATGG